AAATTCAGGATTCAATGTCAATTCCCCAGAATCTGAATCATCCTTGTCATTACCATTTTCAGATGAACTATCATTACCACTACTATCATCAGATGAAGCTGAATCTGATGAATTATTTCTTGTACCATTGTCATCATTGTCATTGTCATCATTGTCATCATCATTTTGTAGGTGTCTTATTTTTTGTATTGTATTAGGTTCTACTACTAAATAATCCTCCCCCCATGGATTATCATCATCTTCATCCACTTCCATATCATTATAATTGTCATTATTATTATTAACATCAACATCAGCATTGTAATCTTCTTCAACCATTTTGCCAAATTTTATAGCAAATTCTTGCAGTTCACTAGATGTTTCAAAATTATCAAATTCATCTGTATTAACACAATAACTAGATTTCACAATTTCTAATGACCATGTCTAAATTCAAAAAATAAAATATTAAAAATTTTTTTTTCAATTATTAATATTAATATTAATTAAATAAAAAAAATATTTATGTTTGTTTCCTCATCAAAAATCATTAAACATTTTTTAATGGCTTCTGGATCATAAGTATTATTATTATGATGATCTTCAACCAAATGTCCTGTTAATTTTAAATAAATACACACACTAACCCCATTTTGTTCATTATAATTAATTTCAAATGTTTCTTTACTCTCTGGAAACTTTATGGTTGCCTCATTTGTAAAATCTATTCTTCTGTGTCAACTTCAACTAAATCATATCATGATAAATTTTTATTTATACTACTATTTTAATAATTAGTTTCCTCTTTTTGCTCTTTATTGAATTACTGTGTAATTGTGAACTGCTGAAAAAGCGGACAAGAGTTTTAAAAAAGTAGTATATACAACAAAATATAAATATAAATAAATAAATAAATAATTTACATATGGAGGTCGATTCTTTTTTTAAAAAATTGAAATTTGTTAATTATATCTTGATTTTCGGTTTCTGCTAAAGTTGTATGTTTCAATATTATTAAAATAAATAATTGTTAATTTTTTTATTTGAATTAATTTCCTTATTCGAATTATTCATTTTATTCGAATTAAAATTTATTCAAATAATAATAAACTTTCAATGTAATTTGAATATATACTCAAATTCATAATGAATAAAGTGAATAATTCGAATAAACCTTATTTGAATAGAAACCCTATCTTGGAAAATCATTACATATAAGTTTAATAATGATATGAGGGGTTTCTGACAGTGGTAAGTGTTTGTTTTATGCATGTAAAGAAAAATAGCAAATTTTGTTAGTAAATAGCTAGTTATATTAGGGGTAAACCAAAAGGGATTTTATGCAAGGAAACCAGATTCCTTACAAGAGTAGCTGGAATTATCCATAAAATTTTATTTGAAGAAACATCTCCTTTTATCAATATCCCAAACAAGATCCCTGATGATTTATACAAACTATTCCAATTTGGAAATTATGATTAATTTTGAGAATATTGAGGAATTATGGAAAGGACAATGTGATGTTGAGTTATTTCTCCTTCAAGCATATGGTAAGCCTCATATTTGTATAATTAATAATTATCTTAAAAGTAATGTTTTGTGTTGAATAGAAACAAAACTTGGAGTTTTTATTATGGATCAATCTGGGTCCCACTGTGTCAAGTTTGTAAGATCCTTGATTTTCAAATCTTTTACAATTCATCAGATGAAATTTAAGTTCCATACTTTATTCATGGTCTCTGGAAAATTCAACTAGGCTTGGAAAATACATATAACATGATGGATCAGTGTTGGCAACTTTATGATCCATTGGTGGTCCATTGGTGATCCATTGGTAACATTTTAGCCATATTTAGTAATTTATTAGAGTATTTTGAGTAGGCTCTTAGCTGTGTGTGGATACAGAGGCCTGGTATTGAGTATTGAGAACCCTGAGCTGTGTGCAGATACAGGGAGATTTATATATTGGACTTTTATATTTATTGGACACGAGTTGTATTTACACACTCACAGTGTCCTGTTGGTAAAGTGTCTTGTCAGTAAAGTGGGTGTCAGTAAAGTGTCCCAGACCCATTAAATGATACCTTATGAAATGGTTTTGTGAAATTATTTTGTAGTGCAGGTATATGTGCAACAGATGATTGCATTGCCACTTCATGCAAGTGGCCCATTTGTCTTAGGCTGTAAGAAGGCTGTAGATGCCTATTTCTTTTTGAAAAAGGGTGTTCTAGTTTTTTAATGTACTCATAGTGCCCCTTTCCATTGGGGAAAATATCAAAGCTTACAGATCAGGGTTTTCAAATAAGATCAGGAGTTTGACATTGTCTGATTCAACAAAACCTGTAAGTCTACCATTGTTTGTACCTTTGTTGTGTATTTTTGGAGGAAAGAATCATTTGGAACAATCAAATCTGGAGGATGGGAACCTCTTCTGGAAGTTGACTGCAATAGTGGTTCAACAAGTTGAATTATTTAGATATAGGCTTTTTATTTAATAGTATAGGTATAATTTTTATTGTATTTAAATTATTTATATATGATATTGTGAGATAGTAAAACGAGGACCGATAGAGGGGTCCCGTGTTGCCGATCCAACCAAACCAAAATACTGCGGAAGTCACGTGACAATTTATTACATCATTTAAATTTTA